ATATTGAATATTATATATATATATATATATATATATATATATATATATATATATATATATATATATATATATATATATATATATATATATATATATATATAATTAGAATTTTGTTCTAGCACTGCTGTATGGGTTTTTGTATTGTCCATGAAGTAAATTGAGTTTATATATGCAAATGATGACATATATATGAGAGAGTGTGAACATAGTGCAACTTGTGCCCACTTTTAAAAAAACCGAGTTCAACAAAATTCACATTTGTGAATAATTGTTTATTCATTTGGTACAAAGTCAAGAATATTTCACAGGCCCAAATATATGTGTCTAATCAGGTAAAAACATTCCCTTTCCATATCTAAAATACACCCAACACATAAACATTGCGTTTTGCATACATTACAGCATAAATTGGTTTCCAAATGTCCTCCAATTCCATTTTCGTTAAAGATATTCTTTCTGTCAAAATTTGCAACCAACTCAAAGCAATTATGCAATTATGTGCCTTCGGTCAAGTTTATATGCTGTAGCAGTCATGGAATAACGGCTGGTACGTTAGGAAATAATATACTACGTTTGGCATAGCCTGCATGGCAGGCGGTATTTCTACGGGCAGCGAAAATTAGGGAAGCAAAGGAAATACCGTCTGCCGCAAAACTAGGGATTTTTGAATTACCCGTCCGCTGGTGAACGGGAAAAACGGATTGGTTAGTATTTTTATGTAGTTGTCAATCAACGGGTAAATTCGGTTAAATGTTAATCATTAACAAAATGTTTTGACGTTTTGAAACTCTGCGTTTTGAAATTAGTTCACGTCAAGTCAGACCAGAAATGGAATAACATAATAAAAGAAGCAAATTAAAAGATACAAGCTGAAAAATAACACTCTAAATAGTGTTATTGATAGAGATTCGAACAAGAATATTTAACAAAGAAGATACGTCCGAAGGGGCCGAAGTTATGATCGGCTAAAGGTATGGGCTAGTCTATATTTTCGTTCAGACAATTACATGCGTATTAATTTGATAATATACTATCTCGCTTGACTTTCAAAGGCCATAAATCGCAATAATGTTGACATTTTACTAAAAACTATCGATAGAAATTAGCAGATATTTCTTCACTGAATCGAACAGTGGAATTTCCATATAAGCCTATCAGTCATGTTCTGAACCAAAGATACTTGATAGATATTAATATATACGAACCTCCAAAGTATGAACAAGGGGCCGGTTGATGCAGTAATTATCAAATAACAGTTAAACTCTTATATACCCGTTGAATATGTATAGTTGTAAACAAATAAAAACTATCGTTCTATAAGGTTCAATACTTTCAGTTTGGTTGTTGACTGATGATGAATCTATAGTACAGACTTGCATGCTTTGTATTTTGAGCTTATCCTCTATTAACTATGAGCTTATTAAACCACCGTTTTAAGGCAGCTAAACGGCTAAACGGGCTTGGTTTATATTAACACATAAAATAAATTCCTTGATTCTCATCACTAGACACAGTGTACACTTTGAAATGTCGAAGACAGTGGGAGATTTATTTTTTATATTGTATATTTATATAATTTATATATCGATCAATAGTAATTCGTATCTCCACAAACAATGACAGAATGACTGAGTTTCTTTAAGGCCACATAAAATAAATTCCTTGATTCTCATCACCGCCCGACTGTATTTTAAGAGCCGCGTGAAATTTTTTTATATTTTGTTAAACAATATAAATGAACCGCCCGACAAAATTTTTCAAGATAGTTAAGTTTTTTATATTTAAAATTGGGTTTTTAGTGCTGTTTTAAACTGCCAATTTCAAACAAATAGAACCTTGAAAGAAATTTCATTGCATTTTAACGGAACTTCGCATTCAGTTGAAGGAAATTGGAAATGAGTTAATAGAAAGGGTCAACGCTTTTAAATTACTTGGCGTGTCGTTCCAAAATAATCTAAAATGGAACGCACATGTTGAAGAGATTACACGTAAAGCAAATAAACGCCTTTACCATCTTAGAGAATGCAGGAAATCGCAGTTACCAGCTGAAGTCGGTATTATTACCTATCAATCCAAAATAAGACCAATTCTCGAGTATGCATCACCTGTCTGGGCGGGACTCCCTAATTACCTGCGAGATGAAATAGAGCGGGTTCAATCCAGGAGCTTAAGAATCCTTGGCCTGGAAAAAGATTACCTACCACCGTTGAACGAAAGAAGGGAAGAGGCAACTAGTCGAGAAGTTGATAGGTTTATGAACGATCCACACCATCCCTGTCGCAGTGTTTTGCCAAAATTAATTAACAATCAGTACAATTTAAGGAACATTGACCGGAATCGCAATATATCATTCTTCTCAGGAACTGAAAGGCATAAACATTCATTTTCAGGTAGAGCTTGTAAATATGTATAAATAGTTTTAACTTATTAGAAGAACTTATTAGATTAAAGAATTTATTAGTTTTAACTTCTTAGTTAGTTTTCTAAATTATCTTACAACAATTTGTAATATAAAGACATATCCGCAGCATATATACTTTCTTAAACAAGTAATTGTAAGTCCATTGTACTTTTTTATCTTAAGATGGATGAATAAAGCTATTATTATTATTATAAGGGTTCAGTCATTGTTCGTGGAAAAATATGTTCATTTTTGGTTTGTGACACTTCACTTTGGAAATCACAGAAATATTAAATGTTAGGAATCAGTTTTTTATTTATTGATGATAAATTATATAAATATAAAATATAAAATATAAACCTCCCGGCTCTTCGACATTTTCAAATTCTAGTGATGAGAATCAAGGAATTTATTTTATGTGGCCTAAAATACAATGAAGTTTCACTCAAAATTCTGTTTGTTTCAAATTGGAAGTTTAAAATGGCAATAAAAACTCTATATAAAATATGAAAAAATTAACTGTCTTGAATTATTTTGTCGGGCGGTACATTTATATTGTATAACGAAAAATAAAACGTTTTCACGAGGATTTTAAAATTTAGTCGGGCGGTGATGAGAATCAAGGAATTTATTTTATGTTGGGCAGTTGGGACTTGGGAGCAGCTTGGGAGTGGCTAATTTTGAATATTTACTTAATTAATGCATCTATAAATAGCTTTGATGCTTCAGGGGCGGTAGTTCATTTACACCCAGTTTTGCGGCAGGCGGTATTTCCTAAGTACCGCCTGCCATGCAGGCTACGTTTGGCATAAAGTGGACAAAATTGAGATAACAATATAATGGATGATTGAGAAATAACATGTAGAATTAGTTTTGTCTTTTCGTCAAGTTCAGCTACATTGCAATCAATCTCTTCGTTGTCACATTTTAATGGTTGCTGAAAAAAATTTATTGCTGAATGATACTCTGAGTTTTATCGCACGTGCACATAATTTTCGAGCTGGATTGTTTATCAAGGGCGCGTTAGCGATATACTGTAACGAGCAGCACAGAGCCAGAGATCACGTCATTTAATCACTCATTTACACAAACGTCCTGAGTTGGACGTTCTGCAAACGCTCTTTTAGCGAAAAGCATCAAAGGCAAAAGCTGGTAAATCAGCGACACGCTATATTACCGGTTGAAAAAATTGCCAGTATATACACGCCAAAGGACAGCTTTTCCAAGCAAATAACCTGCTTCGGCTTCAAAATAGTGTTTGCATACAAAACATTTATAATAGAAAACTGCAGACAAATAAGAAAAATAATACATTTTGAATGGTTTTTAATATTACAGTTGAAGTCACTTCTCATATAATAGCTTTACAGTCACTCCTCGGCGGGCCTTGCAAACACAACATTTAACCGGAAGTTGTAAATTACAACATATCACATTTCAACCACCCTCCCCTAGGACCTCTTGTTGCCCTAATTTTTGGGAGTTCACGTGACCAGAGGGAACCAGATTTTTGCTGCAGCGCCGTGCGGAAGTAATGCACTAATCCGCCTTAAAGTCACAGAGGACTAATTCGCCTTGTAAATCTAGTATTATATGTTTTGATTAATTTGCCGGAAATTTTGCCCACCACCAAGTCATACAGTACATACTGACCGAAACCAAAAATTAAGAAATCTTTGCAGCATTTTTGAAGCCCAACTTTCTCAATTTGGTGCCAGACATTGCAGGAAATGAAATTTTTACTTTTTTCTCTCCCCCATTTGTATCATTACAATAGAGCGTTTCTTGATTTGTTTGACATGCGCTAAATTATTGCATGGACGCATGAATGTAACAGGAAAACAATTGTCGAAATCAAAATCATGTAAATTATAAAAATTAATCTCGGATAGTGAATGATTGAGTTATATTTATCTATTTTATCACTCTCGGGAAAGATGAGTTTCTATTTCATCCTGAACGATAGACCGATTAGGGAATAAGAAATAAATGCGAAGACAAAAGATTTCTTGCCCTTTGCATACAAGAAGCGGCAATTATTTAACTGCTTTTAGCACGTTGTCAACATGACACGAACTGTTTAATTACAAATTGCGCAATTATGTTAATTTAATTACTTGAATCAACGTTGGCGTGCAGTCTCATCTCACATGAGTCCTCATGAGTCCACATAGCTACCTCGTTGTGAAATACTGCACAATATATAATTCCTTACACTCCTAAAATCTGGAAAACATACCTAAAGATTACCACAACGTTTGCAGCCATGGATATCTAGTGTTTGAACCGTTAGACGAATGATCTGATTGTTTCCAGCAACAATCGGCCAGTAACATTCAACTTTACCTCGTATATATTTTGAAGGATAGTCGTAGCTTTTAAGAACTCCCGATTTTGAATTAGTAGTTGTCTGCGCGGTAAAAACTCTTGAACATACTAAACATTCAAAAGGATTGAAATATAAAATGAAAGGACAGAGATTATCGCAATATTGTGCAGCGTTCAAATAAGAACTCCACAAGTTTTAAGCGCGGAAAAATACAAGCAAAAAGTTACACAATTAGTATATTTATAACATAAAAGTGATAAAAAGATGTACCTGTCTGATTTTTTATGCTTTTGAAAAAAGCCTTAAATTTTTGATATGTGGAGTATGACTTGGCCGAAAACTTCACGTACAGAAATCTTCCAGTAGAAATTAGTTCGGGAACTGGTGTGGAACACCACGAGCCAAGTCTTGCCTCAGAATCTGATTTAGTGTCAAACACCTCAAGTCGACCGCAGCTGCAATCATTGCAATAACCAAAAGCAAGGGTAAATCTTTCCATGACAATCATGTTTCCTGGACCTGCGTCGAGCAACCATTTGCAATTGACATTCCCATACGAGTCATAATTAGTTCGAATTATTTGCGATGATCTTGAACAAACTGAAACAGCATGGGAATACATTCGTATGTTTAAAACTGAAGAAGTGGGGCGGCATCGGTCGTTAACGAGAGTTTGCACTAATTAGTCGTGCGATGTGCGACTGTATAAATTTGCCTTTTCGTTTTTCAGATCAGCCAAAAGTCAATCTCGTACGCCAGTCTTATTATGATATAAAACAGGAAATGTTGGATTTTTTCACATAGAACATGATCCGACCCTTCTCTCCCCCATTTTATCATCCTCTTTACTTAAATCTATCCCCCCAACACACACACACACGCACGCACGCACACACACACACACACACACACACACACACTTTATTATCCTCTTTACATCAATCTATCATATATAAAAATCACGTAATTAAATATTAGATCGAACGAAGACTTTATCTTTCACATAATCATTCTGACAGATATTTTAATATATTATGTCGCCTAAAGCAGGGGATTTGTGAAACAGGTACAGTAACAATGTGTTGAGCAATCTAAACAGACGGTAATTTGTGATAAGTCTTTGTAATCTTCCAATCATATAATATTAAAATCCTTCATAGCTCACCAGAATTTTGACTGACATTTTTGAACGAAGCGGAAAAGCCACTACCGCTCCCAGACTGATCGGTGTGGAAAACAACCAGCATATGCTGGCCAGACGAAAACATTCGAACTCTTCCGCTGCAAAATTTACCAAGACGCTTGCTGGATGTTGTTGCACCGTCAAATATTTCCAGGTAATCACATCCACATGGTCGGTTGCATTTTTCCAAATCAATATTGTCCGCTCTAAACTGGACAATGTTGTTATTGTCCTTCGACGTGAGTAGCCATTGGCATCGCAAACTTCCAGGATAATTGGAGGGAAACCCTGGACTTTCTATTTTTGAACGCGAGCATCCTGTGAAAAATATGGTTTTGAAATTAATTTTGAGATGGCTACTCAACTACAATCTTTGCCAGAAACTATGGGACAAATAGTGAAACGTCTTAACACCACTACTGTTCAGTTTCCCCCATGCCCCCTGTTCAATATTGCTGTCATAAAAAAATAATATATCACAAACGAGACGACTTCTGGCATAGGCGCAACATTGAAACGGGTGGGGGGAGGGAGGGGGGAATATATATCTGCATAAAATGCGTATTGTCTATATAACTTTCTTAAAACTAAATTGTCCCATAGTATAATGGCAAAGATTGTCTGTGGTGTGCGCACTGATCGATCTACAGTTATGTTAATTAATTCAGTTGGTCGTTATTGTAGTTTAGAAAGCACGCATCGTCGTTTTTAAACTAATATGGTATGGTTTGCTTTCCATAATAGTTCAGTTGCTTGAAACATAATTTTTTCAACTCCGGGGGGGGGGGAGGAAATGTGGGAGGGTGGGCTAGGGTACTATCATTACGTTCAAAAAGATTTAACTCTTGTATAGCTATAAATGCACAACGGTAAAAAATCAATCAAACTTCGTCACTACATGTTTATAAGATTTAAAAGGACAGACGAACAATCGTTTGTTAAAAATGTAAAGTTTAGATTGCATCTTAGACGTCATGCATCTTGATCATGAATTTCCGGTAAACCTAAAGGTGTATCATATTCGAGTATGTCTTCATTGAATGCGCAAGCGATTTTCTCTCAAACTCCAAAACAAAGATCAATTTATCTCATAACCTATAGCCAATGTTGTGATTCGGGTTTAGATAGACAAGAATTTGGCAAATTAATAGTGAATGCGTGGAATGAATGCTGCCGCTCAAATATACTACAGTGGGTAGTAAGTGAAGAAATGCACGAGGACGGTCGCAAGCATTTTCATATGGCAGTCAAACTCGACAAAAAAAACAAGATGGCTCGCGGTCAGGAATTTCATTGATAGCCAACATGGTATCAAAGTGAACTTTGTAGATAAACACGAAAATTACTTAGTGCGTATATGTACGTAGTCAAAGAGGACGCAGATTATGTCTTATCTGAGAATCACCCAGACCTCGCTAATGCCACTGCACCTCCAACGACAAATGCAACTCAAAAACGTAAGACGAATTCTAAGAAACGAGTTGCTAGTAAAAAGAAAAGGAAACGCTTGGCAGTTTACGACGTGGTTCGATTAATCCAGTCGAAATGCATAAAGTCTCGGGTAGAGCTTATGGCTGTAGCAAGCAAGTGGCAAGAACAGGGGAAAACAGATCTGGCAGAATTTGTTTGCAATCGAGGACCAAGAGTTGTGAACGAAGCCCTAGAGACAGCGCACGAACTGACACAAGCAGAAAAGCGATTGGAAAGAACTAGTAAAACTAGGCTAGAGTTACTCCAAGAGCAATTAACACAGCCATACCAAGACAACTGCGACGGATTATGGCTACGTGTGGCAGTTCAGATATTGGAAGGGAATGGCATACCTGTTTCAACATTCGCAAGTGCAGTATACGATGCCCTGCTGCGAGGCCGAGGCAAATATAGAAATGTCTATGTTCACGGCCCTGCTAACTGCGGCAAAACCTTTCTTATTTCGCCGTTGAAATCCATCTACGAGTGTTTTGTTAATCCAGTCTCGGGGAGTTTTGCGTGGGTTGGCATAGGGAAAGCAGAGGTGGTCTTACTTAATGACCTAAGATGGAAACCCTCCATTATGCCATGGTGTGAGTTTTTGCAGGTCTTAGAGGGTGACACCGTGCATTTTCCTGCCCCAAAAAATTTTGTGAGGAAGGATATTGTGCTAGAAAAGGACTCCCCATTTTTTGCGACTAGTGACGCCCCTCTTGCCTTGGTTATGGGAGGGAGTGTGGATAGGGTCAACAGTGAAATGATGGATGTTCGTTGGCGTATGTTCAAATTACATCGCCAAATACCAAGACATGAAAAACATATAAAACCTTGTGGTTCTTGCTTTGCCAAGCTTGTCTTAGATAATGTAGAGCAGTAGCAAACAACAATTTACTGAACAGGATGAGATAATTGGCTTGATGACATACTTGTCTGTCAACAAATCATTTATATATATATATATATATACATATATATATATATATATATATATATATATATATATATATATATATATATATATATATATATATATATATATATATATATATATATATATATATATATATATATCGATGCTCACTGACGGATCTCAGCATAAAATACAATGTTTTATTAGTTTTTTAATCATTAACATTATGTATTGGCTAATTTTTATTACACAATATGTATAATAAGAATGTTATAGTCAACAAGATTTAATATCATTAAAAAATATACCAAACATAGTCTATTTTAAACGAAGCTCGCTCGATAACTGTAAATGAATTTGATATCTTACCGCTTATATTTTATGGCGCAAGTGAGAATCGTTGAAGAAAATCATCTCTCAATTGCTTATATCGTTCTCAACTGTTTTAAAATTTGGCAGAGTTATACTGTAGGTATGGGCTCATTCATCCATTTCTACTTTTCTAAATAAAACTTCATAATAAGTCAATTACAGCGCATATAAGACGCAAAAGTAAGGGTGAGATTCGTTTCCTAGTGCGCTCATTGAGCTCACTTGTCACGTGTCTAACTAAATATACTAATATTTCGTTCTATAGCCCTTTCCAGTGATTACTGCGTCGATGCGTCTAGGCATACTTAATAGTAAATTATTTATATAATCTACGGAAGTGTCCAAGAGTGTTTTACAAACTCTACCTTTGAACTCCGTCCATGCTTCATGATTGACTCCCCGTGCTCGAACCTGCATCTCTAAATTGCTTTTAACAATGTGAAAAACATTTTCAATCGGATTTAGGTCGGGGGATCGAGCAGGTATACAGAACAACTGAGCACTTTGATCATGGATAGCTTTCATAGCCATTGCACTTGTTTGGGAAGGGTCGTTATCCATAACAAATATTTTTGTGCGTTCTCGTCCATGAAATAGGGCCGGGAAATTTCTCCTAACAAAATCACTGAAATATACGGCATTCATCTTCGTGTATTCCTCGACGCAAAATACTCCCATGTTGTACCTAATTGCGACTAGTAAATGCAAACGCTTTCCCCCTGCTAGGTTTTTGGAACCTAGCTTTAGCTGTTATTTTTAATCCTTCCGCCCTTTTCCTCCATACTTTGCCTTTTGGTGCTGAGATTTGCGCCATTGTCCTTGGCTTGTGCACGAATGAAACACCGTCTAGATAGAAAGCAATAACCTCGTGGAAAAACATGGGCTCATTCTGTAAAATTTGCTTACATTCCCTTGCAAATTTTAGACGTTTACCGCGGTCCGTTCGGCTCACTAATCTCTTTTTTCGCGCTTGAAGATACTGAAATCCTTCACGGCGCAGTTCTCGATAAAATGTTCTGTACGAAATGCCTGACAAATGAAGTCCACTGTAGGCGACCAGTGATTTAATTGAAAAGCCAGGATTAATTTCCCGTAACTTAAACAATGATCTAAGTAAATGGCGTCTATCTCGAGGTGACAATTTTTTGGGCCTTCCTCGTTTTTCCATGGATATTGATTGCTTTTTGCTGTTACTTAAAATACGACACGCAGTTGATTTCGAAACACCGGCCTTTTCAGAAATTTTTCGGAAGGAATATTTTTTCTTCCAAGATAAATAAAGATAAATAACATATGCACGCATTTTATCAGTAATATTGCCATGATAAACCATTTTTATTGAATTAATCAGCTTGCATTGACTTACTATACCTGCAAGAGTGCGCGGATGCAATTTATAGTCTCATGACGTATTGTTATGAAATATGCCTTTATCAGATATATCCACGTCATCAAGGATAGGCTTAATGCAAATAATAATAATACTTGTGGGGCTGAGTAATATTAGTGTAATTCTGAATCACTGCGAAAGAAACGTAAAATGTTATCAATCGCAACTATATTTCTCCATCATGATGTAATATCTTATTAATATAACCATGCATTGCGCAAATTTATGTAAATTTCCTAGCCTTAAAAACAATCGTTTTAAATATAGCAATGACGCTGAAAAAACAACATTTATTCACATATAACAAAATGCTGATAGGCAATGAATAAATTACCCAAACTAACTGCCTGTTTAACTCAAAAATCATAAAGTAACCTTAACTTGCATTGAAGTTTAATAGCGACGCATTTACAGACAATCTTTGCCAGAAACTATGGGACAAATAGTGAAACATCTTAACACCGCTACTGTTCAGTTTCCCCCATGCCCCCTGTTCAATGTTGCTGTCATAAAAAAATAATATATCACAAACGAGACGTCTTCTGGCATAGGCGCAACATTGAAACGGGTGGGGGGAGGGAGGGGGGAATATATATCTGCATAAAATGCGTATTGTCTATATAACTTTCTTAAAACTAAATTGTCCCATAGTATAATGGCAAAGATTGTAGCTCTATACCAAATTATACCTCAACTTTATTTAAATAGCCCAATCGATAACAACATTGTACCACATGACGACGTGTTTTTACTGTATCCCATCCAATTATACGATTACACATCACAGAGTTAGATATCGTGATATTTTACGGGAGGCCTGCCGCGGGATACCATAATAAAGAGATTTAGCAGCGACTACGACAAAGATTAGATACTATAAAGATGTTCCACTCTGCGAAAATTATGTCCGAGATTTTTTTTATAGCCGCCATTTTGGCCGTAAGTGTCAAATTCAACGCCATCAGTCTCTAATTAGTACTAGAAAATACATGCATGCAGAAACCCTCGCCTTGCTGACAAAACCATTGTATGTTCCGAACATGAAGTATCTAACGTTGTTGTCATGGTAACACGATATTTTTTTAAGAATATTCTTACAAATGAAAAATCGTCTAAAAATATCACTTTTAATTACAAAATTATCAATTTCCCAACATATATATGTAAGGTATGTTGTTATACGTAATATAAGCTTCAATTTAAGGAAAAAATTCAACCACAAACGCTTCGCAAAACGTTTTAAATTAAAGTGTTTTTTATAAAACTAAACCGGCAGGTACAAAACGCAGGTTGCAGGTTGGAACTTTGCAGGTTGCAAATTTTGCAGATTGGAATTTTGCAAGTTAGGGGTTTTGCAGGTTGGAATTTTGCAGGTTGCCAGGAACTTTGCACGTTGATAATGCAAACTTAAAATTACACCACTTTTTTAGTATTCTGGTATAATTTAGTTATGAAATTATTGCAGTCTGACTCTTTGTCGGCGCCTCTGCTCTAAGGCTAGTGCCCCGTGAAAACATTCAAAATGACCAGATTGGCTTGGACCTACAGGGAGATACGGTAATTGGGGGCTTGAGTGGACTCCTCATAAGGGAGACACCTCATTCAGGCATTTTCTGAACTGCCAGACGTCATGTACAAACCGGTAAAAACGCACAAGTTTGTTACAACCCTTACCAAACTGACAGATATGTGACAGATATATGTCACAGTTCTGTAAAATATCTGAAAAATATATGTTCGAAAGTATCTGCCACATATCTGCAACATATAGGAATTTGGCCCCATTACATATCTGTCACAGTTATGTGACAGATATCTGTCACAGTTATGTGACAGATATCTGTCACAGTTATGTGGCAGATATCTGTCACAGTTATATGACAGATATCTGTCACATATCTGCAACATATAGGAATTTGGCCCAATAACATATCTGTCACAGTTATGTGACAGTATAGTTTTCCTGCAGATAAAAGTATCTGTATATTATCTACCAAACAGGTATGTCACATAACTGCCACCAAGTGAGATTTATCTCTTGCATAAAACTATTTCCTCTTACTTTTGCAACATCACGTTGCTGCAACTGTACCTCTGTCATGTTCACTTGAAGCCATAAATAATTTAATACGAAGAAATATTAGATCAGAATAGTAAATGTATTTATTAGTAAATATATAATTATGATAGGTTACACATATAGATAAATTTAAGACTGTACAATCAATTTTTCTCCAGGGGCCAGTTGTTCAAGGGTGGATTAGCTTAACCCTAGGTTAACCTAAACTTCAAAGCAAACTTCCTGATAGCTTGTCTATAAATTTGGAAATATTTCTTCAGAGATCTTGTCTGGATCAATAGGAGTTTTCTTCTTTGAAGTTTTGAAATAAACAGGCGTGTAGAAATACACAAACTAAAACAGCAGGCTAAATTTTAACCCAGGGTTAGCGCTAGTCCAGTATTGAACAACCGGGCAGAGTAATTACACTTACTACATGGCCAGCAATAAATAATGAGCACCTAAAAGTCATTAATTGTCAATGTCAAGTCTCACTCAGCTGGTTTGCTTTTAGTTCAAGCCACACAGCATTTGTCATGTACCATGTACTGCATAGCAGCTGTCTTTCCATAGACTGTATCATCCAGAACAAAAGCTGAAAAAATAGGAATTGATAAAATCAGATTTATTTAATATGTTTTAGATTTAATTGGCATTGAGACATCAAGAATAATCTCGATAGTGTTAGGCCAAATGGGGGATGCCCTTAGGGTAGCCACGTGTTATGGGTTACCAGGTATATATTGGCTTAATTAATATACTAGGTTACATTTGATTTGATACTATTTTTGTAAAGTATATTACAGGAGACAT